CAGTTGGGCAAAGTTACTGAAAAAGGTGCACCGGTTCCTCTAAAGATTAAACTAAAACCTGTGTTCTCAAAAGCGTATTAATTTACTGTCCATATTGTTCATTGTCCACAATGTCGTCAAAATGATCAAAATTGCACGTTCACTTTGCCATCAATTCTTGGGGAAAATTTTGCAAATAATTTCCATACTAATAAATTCCCGTAGCATCACCACAATATGGTTCATTACAAAACAAATTCCGAAGAGTTAAAGATATTTTTTCACGTTTAGTGTTATCAACAATAGTTTGAGGTGAAAAAGTCCTATGGGAAAATAAACATATTTGCTGTGCGCCTGTCTTTGCAACATGGTCTGCAAGAACCTCACTTCTTAAAACGCCAGAATCAACATTCCTAACCGAACAAGGTTTTGGTTTGAGCGTTGTGTTTTGTCGGTTTCCAGGATTCGTCAGTCAAATGTGATCGCCTTACTTCGTTTATAGGTACGTTTGGTTGAAAGAATATGGCCACTGTTTTTAATTAGAAGGTAATTATTTTCCCTGACAACTTTGTTATCAGTTAGTCGGAAATGGCCGACGAACGTGTAACAGAACGATCGGTGATGAGTACCGTCTAGTTGGACGAAACATATGTTTAAAAATCTTGTGGATGTTCATCAAGATGGGTTCACCGAAGGGCCTTTTCGAAATGCAGTATATTGCCTAAAATGTCGGCTGATAGAGTTGACCTTCAGAATGGATATCTTGCCCAAAAATCCTAAAAGTAGACGTTTCGACAAGCGAAGATTTTCAAATAAATTTATATGATGAACTTATTGTGGTCAGTCTACGTATTATCGTCGAGTCCATTGGAGCAAAGCCGAAAATCTACTTGATGACCCGCGTGGGAAGAGCCCGCCATTTGATGATCAATTTTATAAAGTAAAAAGTAATGCTTCTTTGGAATGTGTGAACATGTTTTCCCTTGCTTACCCAAGCAGATGTCGTATTCGGATGACTCTTCCGACGAAATGGCATCTACTGAAAGAGAATCGGAGGATATCACTTAAAAACTGAGAGGTTTACAAAACACAATATAAAGGCAGCTGTTGCATACTAACCTAGAACAAGTGTGATAAACAGGGCATTTATTATCATCATCTTGAGTAAAATATATATGGTTTGATATTCTCAGTATTCGACATCCTTACAGTGCGCATTAGTTCCATTTATACTGCTGGCTTAACCTTGAAAGATCCGTGGTAAGCTTGAAGTCGGTTTAATTCACCAACAAGTTCTTTCACCACTAAACGTGACCAAATTACCGCCAGAACGAGTGTAAAATTAAATTTGATTTTAGGATTTTTTCGTCATCAACGTAGTCGGTGGTTTACAAGAATTATTGAAATTACTTAAGTGAATATTACCTGAGGTTGCCTTTTACCGAATATGTGTAGACGTTCAAAGATAAAATCACAAATAAAATAAAAACAAAATAATATGACAAAATAATATAATAAAATAATAAAATAAAGTAAAATTAAATAAATTGAATAAAGCCAAAATAAAATCAAACCGGCGAAAATCCCATAAAATTTTGCTAAGCTAACACATGTCAATTTTTAGAGGAAACCTGTGTGCCAGATTTTAGTTAGATCTTATATGGAAACATATATCTAATTATTGAGGGACAGGAATATCAAACGCACGGTTTAGAAGAAGAGATATACTTGCCTCTCATACTTTGCAGACGAGAAGAAAAAAGAAGCTAGCTCTGAATGGAGAGCTTCCACGCGCACAGGATACTTTATCAGCGAATTAATTACTTAAACTATACACTTGAATATATATATATATGTTTTTGCGTCATTGCAGACATCTTAAACATTCAATGAGGCCACGAATATAATCAAGTTTAAACAAACATTTGACCGGAAAATCCCACGCAGCTTGGACGATGTGGGCAAGCATAACAATAGATCTTAGTTTCACTTGAATCCGAAAGATCTGGAAATTTTAGAGTATAATGTCAAAAAAACGCGTAGATGGTGAGCGAAACGAAATACTTGTATTTAAATATATCATCAGACTACCACCACTTTACGCTCAGGTCACTTTCCGACATGCATTTCACTGAACCTATACGCAGGATGGAAACAAATGGTGACTTGGTCCTTTCAAAGAGGAAATTGCGCCAAAAGACTTAACTAACCGCCACATAAAAGGTTGAGCTTCAACCTGGTCATTATTTAGGCCCGTTGATAATTCCCCAGCTTGTCCGGGCTGCACTTCGTCTGTGGGGGTGCTTGGTTTACTTGAGTTTTTCGCCAACTGCTTGGCAGAAATTAACCATTCAAAGAAACTCAACGACTCGTTATTCTGTTTGTTTGAGTAATGTCGAACAAACACTTTTTCACGCTTTCCGCCCTCAGTTGGTGATCCTGCCAGCTACATATCATAATTCATCCACATTGCGCGCACAGCTTTATCACAGAGATTTTAAGGTCCACTTTTAACTTTTGCCTTGGTCCTGATAGGGGACCGTCTCGTAAGTAAAGATGTGCAAACGAATAGTCAACAACACTTGCTACGCTTGTCGATTGGATGTCGAGATATCGAAAATTCCTTGGGAGCGAACAGAATAATAAAGAACTGAAAGCAATTTTGCCTGGGTTGGTCTAATAATGAATAATGGATTTTTCTTGTTTCATTTCAAGTTGATTGAAACTCCAGCCATGATAACACACTTCGTTGACCGCGTGAAGATATTTAGTATGGAAAATTTACCAGAATAGGCGAAATTGCACAAAAGCGCTTGTATAACCTGTTTCGTTAAGATAACGATTCGAGAGTACTGCCGTAGGGGACGTTTTTACAAAAGCCTATTTCAAAGCTTAAAAAAATTAGGCCAAACTTTTCATCACGTACTCACTTTGCACATTTAACTGGTTGTCGAATGTACGCGTGACCCCACATAAAATTAAGACGTACCACGTTGCAAACTCTGAGCATATGCCAATTCACAAGGTCGAACAGGGCTCGCCTCATGTCTGATAAGAGGGAAGTGTGGAAAATCACATGGATGAATTGTGCTAAATGTAAACGAACAGCTGTGTTTCATTTACGTAAATCAGTGGTTTCTATGTACACCACGATAAGTACGTTCACCCGTTTGACCTAATAGGTATTCAAATCTAAAGCAAACTGAATGATACGCTTTTAGTTTTGCTCAGCGTAACGCTATGTTTTGATGTAGTTTGCATCCTGTGACGGTGGGCACAAAATAAGATTCGTTGAAGAGTGAATAGAACGGCAGGCAAAATACCTTCGGCTGCACTCTGCGGTTTAAAGCACCGCTGGTTACGACGTGGTTTGGCGTGAGAGCATTTGCACACATTTTTTCGGTAACGTAACGACTCACCATCAATGGAAAACATCTAGGACGGATTCCTTGGGATTGGAGCACAGATGATGATAGCCATAATAAATTTCAGAAGGTGTATGCACCAATAGCAGTTTTCAAGTTGCAGTCTAGAGTCACCAGTTGCGCTATGATAATATAAATACAGTTCAAACAATCGAATAAAGCATGTGATCTAACGTTCACCGATGACTTGTATGAGTTCCCGTGTGAACGTTCGTCAAGTAGAGGCTAGACTTTACCTTGATTTGGCGGTCTGTGCACCTCAGTGACCCGCTGAGCTATACGGAGTGTGTTTCGGCGTTACTCACAGAGGCTATCGTACAACGTTGGTCAACGTTTAGAGGTCTGACAAACACGGTCTCCTGGTTCTCCAGGTCCGCGGTTGGAACAAGTGGCGACGTGTTCCATATAAATGGTAATGCATTTGCATTTCACACCGAACATCGTTGCCTTGCAGTTAGGTTTTTAAGCCAAAAGCTTTGGTTGGTGACCCTACACGTTCTCCAGTTTAGGTGTGGGCGCCCTGACAGTATCTCAGCCCACGTACAACCATGACACCCCATTCGGTGCGGGGCGGGTAGGCAAAAACAGACTACTGCTGACGACTCACTTATTTCTCTTTGGCATACTTTTTCCTTCCTCCCCCTACTCCATCAATAACGCTCTCCTTGTAGGCCCAGAATCTAGGAACAATAGCCCCGTTCGTCTTGCATCGGTTTCGCGTGCTCGTCACATGGCGCCGACATCTTCAGGTATCTTCAAGTAATTCTTCATGCCTGGACACAGTTCTTTCAGATGCACTCTGAAGTAAGCATGACATACTGGACCTGCTTGGAATGGATGTGTGCTGTGTCACAGAAACAACAATTCAAGATGCAACCACAATGATTGAGCTAACCTCCCATCAGTCTCCATTCGTATCCGGCTACGCACCTCCGACAATCCAGAGGCTGCTGCGGCAGGATGTACAGGTGTTGGTATCGTCCGAATTCACCAAAAGGAAGCATCTTCGCTAAACCGAGTATCTGCTGATTGTCGTCTATATGCTGTTGACCTGGTAAAGTGAAAGAAGGGGTGTCACAATCGCGAATTAGATCGCCGTTCGTTTATCGTGTCTGCTTACGTCCCAAATGACTGAAGCCTGCACGCTAGACAGGTTTAACGATGCCCCAAATGCTTTGTTGTGGAAAGCCAAATGGTCAGATATGCTCGCGTTTGCCGGGGAAATGAATTTACAAGGTGGCAGGGGTAACGTAGCTGAGACTAAATTAGAAATTAACATGGATTGGACTGGGTACGTACGGACATGAAGAAGCGACCGATTTTGCTGCCTGTTGATTGCAGGCTGTTTTTAAGCAATACCAAATTCCGAAATAACCGAAGTCGTCTGGCCACACAGTGTGCCTCAACGGCATGCCAGTCACTAACTCAGCTCGATGATTTAGCTATTAGTTGCCGACGGCGCAGATCAATAACCGACTGCCAGTCGTTTTGAAACATGAACACGTCTGAAACTGCTTCTCAGCTTTACTGCATCGGAGTCAGCGGCTTCATCGTGGGCGTGGCAGCAATCTACATGAGATTAACGGAAAAATCATGATGTATGAAGCCGAAATCCAAAATGCAGCGCCAGGTGCATATGACGCAAGTGTTCGTGGTGGGATAAAACACTGTATGCTTTAAGCAGAAGCCTTCGTATTATCCCTTTGTTCGCAAAAAATTTAAGCAACTTTTGGGGCTTTTCTGACCGCTCTGCTGGCCACCAGTGCATGAATTTGGCCATCTTATTCAATTTCAGCTGTCCTCTGCGAACTAGGTTGCAGCAGCTGGAAACACTTTATTCCGGTTAGCTTAAAAACTAAATTGGACTGACTCAACTGAACAGACGCATTTTTGCAGGAGGTGCGGGGATACAAATCGCTGTGTTTGCTATCATAGTGGATCCTTTATTGGTTGGTTTTTGAGCCTTTGTTCCCGGTAAATTTGAAATCCTTAGAGAATTCAGCTGTCCCAAAGAGATTAGGATGTTGATTGCAACTAGCGTCACCCTCGGCAATATGTGTTGACTTCTTTCTTCTATTTTTTTATATTGTACAACGCGATTCCCCATTTTTTGTTATTTTGGTCTGTCCCTATACCACCCTTGTTGTTTTTGACCTGAACACGACTTGAGGTTTGTGAAGCATTATGAGTTTATTATTGTACTTGTACTACCGCATTTGTAGATAAACCTCCATTTGAAATAATCGGCTTTTGGGGTTTTGCGCGTAACTCGACGTGGTACAACAGATTGCTGGAATCAATCCATAGTACTCAAATCCGGAAATCAAATCTCAAGTATTCGGTGTATATCAGACGTTCAGCCGAATTGGAATCTGGAACTTTGTAAACAATATGCCCAGAACAAGAAGCGGCAAGTCATTTGAGAATATGTAGAACCCAGAACTTGCTAACGGTATAAACGATATTTCTGATAACACTGTTGATCATGACATTTGCATTTCTCAGCCTCCTTTATTTAGTCAACATTCTCCCCCTAAGCCTAGCGTAGCTGGTAGTGTAAGGTCCAGCAGGTATGTGGGTAGACAGAAAAGTAGGTCGGAGAATGAGATACTGGAAAAAGAACTTGCAATAGAGATGAAGAAGCTGGAGATTAGAAGGCGGAAGTTAGCGTCCTGCAAGCAGATGCTGTTGTCGTATGACTCCTCTGATGATGAAAACTCTATATGCGGTGACTGTGAACTTGGGTTTCCCTCCAGTAAACCGAAGGCCGAGAAATTCGTAGCGAAGTTTAATTCAGAAGAAATGGAACGCACGAATTTATCTACTAATCAGCCGAGAAAAGGTGACGCGGCCGGAATTCGAACCGCGGCGGACATTTTAATTTCCTTTCGTTTGGTTTGCCTGAAAAAACTGGTTTGCATGTGAGAGATAAATCAGTTCATATAAGGTTCTTTTGCTTCAGTGATTGTACTGAAAGCAAGACAGTTGGTGCAGACGTATCAAATGTGGGTGACTGAGAATGGAACTAGGGCTATTTGTGAGCCAACCGAAGGACGCTTCCTTGCGTGAAGTGTCCCCCGCGCTCGTATATGCCACAGACAAATCACAGGTGTGAATGGGTGTTATGGTTTAAAATCCCTGCTACACTCATCACAGGCTAGAATGTCTGAAATCGTGTGGTATGTCTTTCTCAATATCTGGCTGATATATGCAATTTATCTGGAAATACTCAGCCTATCATGGTCCATAACAGGTTAAATTGCCTTAACCGTGAAAGTGGCCAAACATAAAAAACGTTTAGTCTGATTATCGTTACCCCTGTGGTAACAAGGGGAGGTGGCCCTTTGGGTGAACATTTAATGGACATAGAACGGTCGAAGATCAGACCGGAGGGAAAGCTCTGTTATCCCGAGGGTCATCTGCGGGCGAATGTTTCGTAGCTGACAGTAGCCCGTTAGTTCCTTATATTGGCCTACTGAAACACTCAAAAGCGATTAAACTGCGCCCCGCATGATTTAGGTTGCTGAACCCATGATCCAAGAAAAAATTATGAGCCAAGTTTGATCCATGTACAATCAGCGTCTGTCTCAGGAGGAAAAAAGGCGACGGGCTTCACTGATAAAAATTTTCGGATTCCGCTGTCGCAAGTCACCTGAGTGTCCTGTTTGTTGCTCTAGATAAGCCAGCTTTTTAGAACACGAACCACGAAAGTAGATTCTCTACAAGTCAACCCGTCACCTTACTTAAGTAGCAACAGTAACAGCCAACAGAGCCAAACAACTGTGTGTGTGAACGTCGGCCTCAAGCAATGGGGTTAAACCCCTCCTTCAGAAGAGAGGTTGTCTGCTGCAGGCAGCTGTCACTGTGGAGGAAACCATTTTTTAAAAATTGAGTAAATGCGTTCGGCTGGACAGGAATTCTTGTGTGAGTTAGGAAGATAATCACTCAAATAGTCGGTATATCACAATAAAACCCTGGATGGGCAGCAAAATAGACATTTTAGTGAGGGTTAGACTGGAGACTGAGCACAGAGCTCCAGCATCTCAAAGATAGCCAGCGTAGAATATCTGTTTGCTTTATGAGATGATTAATTTCCAGATGCAGCTACTACTGGTACATTTCCACTAACTGCAGGAAACATATTTATGGAGTGACACGCGTTAGAGCGCTAGCAAACTACGGTAGACAAGCTTCTTCTAACACCACTTCCAAAGAAGTCGAAGATTATGTGGATTTAATGTGATATGGTGAGGTTGAGAGAGCGCAGCAAGGTTGTTGCACTTGTCTAGACGGAGCGATTTCTTGTGACCTGAAACGAATACATTTCACGACGACGGCTCCGCAGAACACACGCTGAAGCAGATGGTTACTTCGAAACCACACTGAGTAATGCCTGATCCCCTATAAGTGTAGGAGCTGAATATAATTTCCGTATAATACTCCCACAAATCGAGCAAGGTCTGGCCTGAAATTACTTCGAAGTTGCTTAAAATCACGCATAAATTTTAACCCGAAAACATTTAGCGTGGGTGGGCGAAAGCTTACCGAAGTACCTCTCAAAAGGCTTGCTTGCCTTCACATTCTTAATGGAAACGAACACCCACGCTGACAAAGAATTGACTAACATAAGTGCATATTCACACCCCAGGAAGCGGGATTGGTGGTGCTATAAGACTGCGCGTTCACTGTCACTATTGGTTGCCAGAAAGTGAAAGGCTAGTTGGAGGTTGATCACAACGAACTGATGTATTTTAAGGCAGGGAGTACGTGAATCAATAGCCTCCGCGCATTTGTTTCTTACGTAAAAGTCTCTACGGCCCCGTACCCCAAAGAAGAATTCGACCAACTTCCTACCAGCTCTTTTTTACCCGATTAAGGTTGTATATAATGATACCTGAAAGGACGAAGGTACCCTCGGATCACTTGGCCAGTAGATCGTAAATCTACATATTGCCGTTTGAAATAAATTTGGTTTCACGGCATTTACGGGCGGGAGCTGCCCCAGAATTGGATGTCGATTGAGTGTGGACTGTCAAGTTCACTGTGTGTTATCAGTAGTGGACATGTTTATGAAGCCGGCTTTTCCAAGCGTCCGACTGCGCTCTAAAATACTGTTATCGCTGCCTCCTGGTTTTAAGACGCGATTGTTTCCTGGCCGCACGTATCTTGCGTTTTCGCTATGCCCACACTTATAGCATGGACCAGAGAAGAGAGCCTTATTTGTTTCAGTGGTGTCGCCTCGTGCATCCACCGACTGATTCTGCAGCTACATGTTGCCCCAAGAGATGTTCGTTAGCCACCATTTTGACGTTGAAGAATTTCCCTTATTTTCAGCGTCACCGAAACCTGACTTTATGGCTTGAAAAGTAATAACGGCAAAGTGTTGTTGTCAATCCCAGCCTCCCGAAATTTGAACATAAGCAAGGTGCTATCTCGAACAACTGAACGGTTTAATACCCTCATTAGGCCTTGCCCGATGTCGGCCTATTCTTGCAAGAAATGAAAGCTTGACTCAGTGATATCAAGCACCTAAGCGCTCAGTTACCGAATTTCTTTGTGAGATTCCTATGTTGAGTTTATTTTGAGATGATTAATCCTCACGTAGTGACGTGGTTTCGAGGTACTGCAGTCTATGCCGCTTGGTTCCTAAAGGATTGAATTGCTAGTGTGGCGATGTACATTTAAAATGATAGGTAAACCGAACTAGAGAAAGTAGCGCGGGTCACTTAGTGACGGATACAAATCGAAATTTCACTGGTGAAAGAAGTGCACAATAACGATCAACTTGGAGTTTATTTCTGAGTAAAATTTCAGATCAAAAATCTAACCACGGCGGCTATCAATCGGGATCATGAGTGCATGACAACCTCGGTTGGAGCTCGTAGCATGCTTCAACTAAAACTGTCAGCGTCTCGTACCAAAGTACCTAGTAAGTTTGGAACATCTCGTGCCAACCACCATTTACTGCCATTGTGAATATCTCAAACCGAATATCCTCACGCTTTTTGTGACCCTGGCTATTAGCTCAACTGTTCAAGGCCGCGCAGCATTTGATAGGGTTTTCTGCTGTAATCCAAATCATTGAAAAAATTCATTTAAAAACATCCGCCAACTGGATTTGTTGTTCTGATTTCTTATTCTCCATAAATTATAGTTTTTTCACTCGTTTTGTCTTTTTTCTTTTGTGTGCCTGTCAGTCATTTTTCAGTTGTAATGGCAAGAACCTTTTTCATGTTGGTATGTTCTCTACAACTTGAAGAAAGACCATAAACTGCGTTTCATTGTCTTCCGAGTCTAGACCGTACCAGTTTTTTGCATCACCTCGATCTTCTTGGGTAATGCCTAGTATTCATTTCTGAACGCACATTGTGATCATTCCTGAAGTTCCACATCCCAGTTGATAATTATCATTATTACGCAGCATGGTTCTGGAATATCGGGGTTGCTTCCCTAAGTTCTGAATAAACAGCGGCTACTCAGAACGGCAAAAAGGTTGCAGCTTCGAGAATTGGCCACCTAAATAGCAGTCCTCTATGGCTGAAGAACTGTGTTCGGAGATTTCAACACCGTAGCAACCATTTTAAGCACGTCTCAGTACGATATTTACCAACTTAAATTTACTGCACCTCGGGGTTGTTCCTCAAATGTGAGTATTGCTCAGTCACCCGGCGAGAAGGAGAGGCGCCAAGTCAGCCAAGAAAACTAGATCAAATCCCAGGAAATTATAAAAACATGAGCATTCAAAGCAACCTGGTCCTCCAGAAAGTGATTGACCGTAGGAGACCGTAGGATGCTGCCGGTCAAAATGGAAGCCTTTGGTGTTTTGCGTCAGAGGCGAAGGTGGCTGGAATACCTCCTCTTTGGAAGTCAAGACATTGGTATAGTAAATGCCTTCATTTCGATGACAAACAGTGGTGCACCAAGAGAATCACTGTTGAGGATTTCACTGTAGTTCTCCTGTTCAAGAAACCCATTAGCTGAGGTCCTTGTTGCACATGTAATATCCAGATAAGTGACTAATTCCGTCAGTAAATCATTCTGTAAAAACTTGGTAAACTTTAGGGTTAAACTATAGCATATTATTTGTCACTGACTGTCCCTAAATATTGGAATATTATTGAGGCCGATATTCGCTCTCCTGAATGAGCCTCGAAGACTATTTGAGCCAGCTTATATGCATTGCATTAACTTTGCGAAGTTTAACGGGTTCCTTGAACAGTGTTGCGCAAGTGGAAATGTTTATCTCAAGCCATAAACCTTCACAATCTCTTTTCTGCAATTCAACACTTACCATATAACTATTCAATGGGTGAAAGTCTTCCTAGATAACAAGATCCTCAATATCGTCGTGGATTTCTCCACCATGCCCAATGCATAGCTGAACGACTGGACTACGGTTCTGGTCTTCTTTTCCGTCCAGCCCATTGTGCGTGTAAGCCATTAGCACAGGAGCTTAAATCGATCCGTTTTGTCTTTATTAATCATGTCAAAATCGTCGGAACTGCTAAAACTGATTAGTTTTACCTGATGTAAAGTGAGACAGCTTGATTTTCGAAATCCTGATGTCTCCAACTCAATTTGACCGAGTGTGCGCCACAAACTCGATGGATCATTCATTTCATCTAGAAGACCATTCTACGAGGCTCACGTATCGTAAATGCTACGAAAACAAAACAAAAACATGCTTCTGCATGTGACTTCATACCTTAGTGTCAGTGTACTGGCATAGATAGGAAAGCGAAGGGATCGCATACACAAATGACCATAGAGCAAGAAGCGAGGCAAATAGATTTATCTCTTCATTATTTTCACACTATTTGCACATCATCATCATGAATATGGGTGTGCTTGATTAAACTCCATTTTTCATAAAAGATGGCTCTAATTTAAAACAAGCAACAAACGGTATGAATGGTGATTTAACGGTAAAAATACAGTTAAGCAGTACATTCTGGACCGGCACCTTGAAAGCAGGGCTTTAGACGTAAGCTGTTAGTAGTTGCGTAGTATAGTCATCAAGACCATAGTTTGCTCTCTGTGCACCAAGGGGGCACGAACAAATTATTATTAAAAAACTATGGCACGGTGATTAATAACGGCTTAAATCGAGCACTCCTCGCGGTAATCTACTCCAGATATAGTGAAATAGGAGTAGTATCCGAAGCCCACAAAGAATGCTGCGCAGGCTTGTATGGTAATCTACTCGAGATATAGTGATACAGGAGTAGTAGCCCACAAAGAATGCTGCGCAGGCTTGTATCCTGCCTGAGCGGCCTCATCACATTCAAACTTGGCAAAACGGAGCTACGAACAGGTTTTAACTTACTTAGTCATCACTGAGGAGGACCTTCGTCACCTCTTACTTATGACAATCCCGTTCAGTGCGTTCTGATCAGGTAGGTTACATTCAAAAGCCCTGAATGAACAGTTGCACAAGCTGGCAAAGATTTCCACTTAGTGTCTTGTCCCTCGTTTTCACTGAGGAGGACGTTCGTCACCTCTTGTATATGACAATCCCATTCAGTGCGTTCTGGCCAGGTAGGTTACATTCAAAAGCCCTGGATGAACAGTTGCTCAAGCTGGCAACATTTCCACTTAGTGTTTTGTCCCTCGTTTAACGGGAGCAACCTTTCCTCAGCCTGGAAGCAAACGATTGTCACGCCGATCTACAGACCTGGTGACCGTCCTACTAGCCTCACTAATATACCATGCAAGGTAATGCAGCGTATCTTTAGGTAGGCGTCCTTAAATCACCTCGGTGCCAGTAAACTGTTATTTTGAGCGCCACAAGCATTCCACCTTTCTCGCGTGTAATATATGCTCGTAGTTATGGGCAGCTTTAATCAAGTTAGGACCAAAAGCCTCACTCCGGATTTTATATTTTTCGGCTTCCCGAAGCGTTCCATAAAATCTCACACGTCTCACTGCTCCGGAAGCTCCTGTATTGGGAGATTCAAGGGCGTTTGATCATACAGAGCCCTACGTGCGAAAGTTGGGTCTTCTGGGGCACAGGTCTTCACTGGAGTTCCTCAAGCCTTTTTTGAGGATGATCTCCGATTCTCATCTGAATCACCGATCTTCCGGGTGGTCATTTAGGTAGGTGTTCACCTTTCGCAGGATACTTGAAGTCCTGCAGTTCCAACGTTAGTTCCCTCAAATGGAAGTAGACGCTGCAAATCAGTAGTCGCCAAAATATCACCTTCCTTTAAATGACGGAGGAGACTCAGTGAATGCATCTGCTGTACACGATGGGACTGAGTCGCGAAACGTTACAGTGGTTGATGGCAAAAAGAGTTTAATTTCCTGCTTTTCTTCAAACATGTCCTTCTCCTCTTGAAAATTCGGCTCAGAAGGCGGTCATCGTTCTACGGACGGCAAGAGGCACTTTTTCCGTACCGACATCTTGCTACATTAGGATACCTACGTTAGGCCACTGCCCTAAATACGTTAATTTTTACACTCAGGACGCAAGAAAAAACGCGACTTCCACTGAGCGCGTCCAACAAGCTGCCACGAAGGTGATTGCTGGCCTTTAAACAGCTGCCTATGAAGCGTGCCCCGCCGTGCTTGACCTATTTCCCATGGGATGATCGTTGCCTCCCAGGAAAACTAATACTTACTTGTGCCTTGTCTGAACAAGGGTTTGGTCTGCAGGTTTTCCACCGTTAAGCCAAATACACATATGTTGAGAAGGACATGGTAAGAGGCCTTCCAGCCTCGGAGTGCACACAGTCAAAGGGCTGCAACTTTTCTAATTTCAGGTAGTTGGCGTGGCCAATATATTTCCTCCCAAGGTTCTTCGCGCTCCATCTGCTACTCCGCTTGAAGTGAGTCTCAACACGCTTTTTGTGTGAAACCTTGTACTGGCTGGCTTGCTGCCCCGCGCTGAGAACCTAACGGACATCGCTACATCTCTTTACAACTTCTGGCTTTCACATGAACGGAATCCGCTGAACGACAAGAGCGAACATGATAATGGAAGCCTGGGAGAAAGCCCCGACCATGTGTATTAATCCGTGAATCTTCGCATCCGCGCATTAACGCCATCCGCCAGACTGCAAACGGTGGCGGTCAGTGTTCGCTAAGTATTTATGGCAACTATAAGGGAAGTACGTCGAACTCATATCTGCACAAAACATATAACATTAGCCAAATTACGATTTTCTATGGCGTCTGTTCTGCGTATTCGCGGCTGCCAGAGGCACAAGCACCAGAGGGCCTCAAGGCGTTCTGCCNACCTTCCTCTAGATGACGGAGACTCAGTGAATGCCTCTGCTGTAGACGATGGGACTGAATCGGGAAACGTTACAGTGGTTGATGGCAAAAAGATTTTAATTACCTGCTTTTCTTCAAACAGGTACTTCTCCCCTTGAAAATTCGGCTCAGAAGGCGGTCATCGTTCTACGGACGGCAACAGGCACTTTCTCCGTATTACTCGTACGTTACATTAGGAGACCTACGTTAGGCCACTGACTTAATACGTTAATTTTTACACTCAGGACGCAAGAAAAAACGCGACTTTTACTGAGTGCGTCCACCAACCTGCCACGAAGGTCATTGCTGGCCTTTAAGCAGTTGACTATGAAGCGTGCCCCGCCTATTTCCCATGGGTGATCGTTGCCTCCCAAGAAAACTAATACTTACTTATGCCTTGTCCGAACAAGGGTTTGGTCTGCAGGTTTTCCACCGTTAAGCCAAATACACATATGTTGAGAAGGACATGGTAAGAGGCCTTCCAGCCTCGGAGTGCACACAGTCAAAGGGCTGCAACTTTTCTAATTTCAGGTAGTTGGCGTGGCCAATATATTTCCTCCCAAGGTTCTTCGCGCTCCATCTGCTACTCCGCTTGAAGTGAGTCTCAACACGCTTTTTGTGTGAAACCTTGTACTGGCTGGCTTGCTGCCCCGCGCTGAGAACCTAACGGACATCGCTACATCTCTTTACAACTTCTGGCTTTCACATGAACGGAATCCGCTGAACGACAAGAGCGAACATGATAATGGAAGCCTGGGAGAAAGCCCCGACCATGTGTATTAATCCGTGAATCTTCGCATCCGCGCATTAACGCCATCCGCCAGACTGCAAACGGTGGCGGTCAGTGTTCGCTAAGTATTTATGGCAACTATAAGGGAAGTACGTCGAACTCATATCTGCACAAAACATATAACATTAGCCAAATTACGATTTTCTATGGCGTCTGTTCTGCGTATTCGCGGCTGCCAGAGGCACAAGCACCAGAGGGCCTCAAGGCGTTCTGCCAAGGGGTTGCAGAAAACATGCAAGAAAATTAGTGATTTGGGACTGTTGAGATTTGCTGGTCAGAGCCACGAACGTTACCGCAATTGCTACATGCCAAGCCCCCTGCAGGAAACGAATTGGCTACATAAAGCAATTAAACGCCCAGGCATGTAGGGGCCCGACTACCTAATAAGTTACTTCACCAGGAGTGTGGCAGAGAAATTAAAGTAACAACGCCGGACTAGTTTGATACTAATGAAGCCGTCAGATGGAACAGACTGACAAAGAATTATTCTCTCTAAAATAGTTCGTCGTAGGCCCAGCTTAGCGAATAAACAATAGTCCACTCATAATTGTCCAGGAGTCTTCTTCACAACACTTCATACTTATAAAAGATTCCGAAGGTAGTCTGAAATGTTGTGATACCACAGTTAACACATGATACTCGCGAATTACCATTGTAAGCGCAAGCGAAAACAGGGAGAGCGTAGAAGCACGTGGATACGTTTGTATTGCGTGAAATTGTACAAATGCGCGTTTTTTTGTTTTTCCATGTTCAACTGAAAACGGTGTTGGAATTAACAAAATACGAAATGTTATAATGGAAGCAAGATAAAGGTACAAAACGTCACAATCTCCATGACTTAAGTCATTGGTGGCCGGAAACTGTCTGATATTTTAGCCTAGATCTCTGCACACCAGGCTCGAATTCAAAGTGACTCCGCCTTCCCGAAAAAGGTTGACACGGTAAGTGAAGTTGTATGCGCGTATAGTGAGGATTGCGCCCAAAACGCTCAGCTTGTTCTCACCAGAGAGATGCCGGAGACGTGGAACACTGGTTGTGTATTTACAGTACGTTCGGAATCGGATTCGTTTATTCCTCGTTCAAATTTGTGAATTTTTTTCATTTTTCAATCTATTCACAGAGTACACACGAGTAATTGTTGATTTCGTTACTCTAATAAAACGTTTAAGAGATAACCCTTGATATTTTGCGCACACTTCCTACTTTACATCTAGTCCTAAACATGACATCAATTCATACCGATTGCCTTCCGCAGCCACTGATAGACCACGACATATATGGCTGCCCGTCGAACGTCAAACGCGATATTCAATGCCACACCTGCAAGGTCTGGTAACTTTTCAAATACACGGATTTACAGGACGACCAGATAAGCCGACTAGCTAACCCCCCTGACCCGTTTGTCTGCGCCAGCTGCCTCTACGTTAAGGGTTCAATGCATACCGCGGCCAAGAGGAGAGCCCCAAAAAACGGTACCAACTCCCCACCACAGATTCAGAAAGACCGATTTCAGTGTTCCGCTTTGATCGCGGTACTCGACGCGAAATTGGAGGCACTGGAGGACTCAGACACGGAGAATGCAGCGACTTGGACGAAAGTTGACAAGGAAATTTCTTCGCTGAACCAGTATCTCACGATATCCATACCGGGCCCTCTGGCCACGAAGAAAGTAATACAACTCACTGACGCGTCTATAAAGAGCGCCACAGGTGCCTAAAGGAGAGCAGATTATTAATCTGGAGGTCATTTTCCGGAAAAATCCCGCCAGCGAAGCTGGCACAAGCAATCTTTAGGAGTGTCCTCACCAGGCCTGACCAATCGGTCCACGCAGAATGGTTACGCCAGAAGGGAACCAAGCGAACTCTTGGACTTCTAGTCACTCTTTCTTCCACAGCTGACGTAAAGAACATCTTGGATCGGACTAGCAGCATTCAGAAGGCCAACTCAATGGTCAGGCGTCTACCTGAGGATCGCCCTGCAGACGCGCGAAAGCTGGGGCACAACAGGTCAGGGGTGGAATCAAGAAACATGTTTCTGCTGGGCACCAATTCAGCCGACCTTAAACTCATGACCAAGCCGATTGAGTTCATATCCTGTAGTGCTCCCGAAACCAGGGCCAACGAAACCAGCTGCGTCTCCGGACAGCAGTTTTTATTCGACTATCACAGGCCTCTAGCCCAATAAAGGCAGGGACGCCCTGGAGGATGCAAATCTCACAAGCAAGCAGCACCCAAACTACATGGAGCTATCAAAGCTTATCTCCGTGACAGACAACACAGCTGCAGCCATGCACTCG